ACCAAGGCCAGTGCAAGCCCAGGATGTGGCCACAGAGGGACCAAGTCCATCCTCCCATGAGGTGCTGGACCAGGGGCTCCTGAATGTCCCTGGGGACACTGGTGTACAAGCTGCCATTTGGCAGGTGACACTGGGGCTGACATGCTGGCAGGTACCCAACCTGCCACACCAGCCCCGAGGAGCTGAGGCCTGCTCGGTGTCCACTAAGGTTGAATTTTGAAAATAACATAATAATTTTTCACTGTGACTCAGAGCAAGGGATGGGATCAAGTTCCTTTCAGATGACAAACCCAAGGGTTTTTGTTCTCTTGGCACACTGTTCTTCAGCTCACAGGGCACGGTGTGTGGACTGCTGCTGTGCAATTACACACCAGGCATTGCCAGCTATTTGTGGCCCAACGAGCCTTTCTCTTTTTTTTTTCTCTCTTTTTTTTTATTTTTTTTTTTTTCCCAAGCTCTTTGCTTTGTCTCAGTGAATCAAATCTTGGCCCTGGGCAGGATTCACATCTGTGCCTTGAATTAACAAGTGGCTGATAAGCGTCTTCTTTATTACTTGGAGAGCATAGGTCAATTTTATAAAGACTTTGCAGAAGCATGGATTTACAACTGTTCATAAAGATACCAAGAACAATGACAAGAGCAGGAGGACACTGGCCTTTATTAGCTCCTTGCTTTGAGAAATACATTAATCAACTGAAATTCAATTTAAAAGACCCAAAGAGGAATATATGAAAGGATTAGCCAATTGATATGTAATTGAATTACGAGTTCAGACGTGGTTAAAGTGAAATCTGAGTGTGAAAGAAAGCCTACAATGATCCAATGTACAGCCTCTTCTACTGGCAAATGACCCACTGATTCCCAGCGCCTTTGCTTGCTGGCAGCCATTACACCCACAGCGATTTCATGCACAAAATTGACACAAAAGCCAAATGCAGGCAGAGGGTAGAGCTCCAGCAAACCGGATTCTGCATTTATTGGACTCAGAACAACAGCAGATTTTCAGGTTACAAAAGGAACTGAACACCAAGCGTGAGGGGCCACCCCGTGGCATGGCTGGGGGCTCACGTGGGCCCCAGGCATGGCTGAAAGAGAAAGGAGAATTTTCATTCACCCCCAGCCCAGTGTCATCGGTTTCTTTACCTGGGTGTCAGGCAGGCCCCTCTCTTTGGTTACACAAATAAACGTCCTTCAGCCCCACATGGGGACTTGTGAGTTGCAGTTGTCCCCAGGGCATCCTGCACAGCACCCCGTTGGCCCAGCAGCATCTGTCACCACCATCCAGCCCCCAAGGTACCAAAACACTCTGGGGCTCTCTCTTCCTTATCCAATGCATTCAGTTCCAATTATAAAAAAAAAAAATCCTGAAAAACAAAACCAGCTGTGTCAGCAATCCATCTAATTCCTTCTCTGGGATAATTTACCCTCAGCTCATGCTATAATTTGGGCAAAGCACTGCGGTTCCAGAGTAGGCCAGACCAGGCTGTGTGCTCTGCACCTGCATCACGTGGTTTGTGGGGTCTCCAGGGTCACAGTCCCACCGAAATGGGGCCAAGGCATTCCCAATATCATGCTCAGCCCTCACCTTGGAGCCAGGCCCCAGGAAAGAACCAGCATCATATGCCAAAGTCTCTGCCATTCCAAGGCTGCCGGCTCTTTTTCTTCTGGCATTCATTGGCTTCTGTCTTTCCCCCAGCTCTGGTGGAAGGAGCAATTGCAGACTGGCCTTTGTTACTCCCAGGAACACAGCTGTGGGCTGGGAAGCCCCCCCAGGCAAAAAGGCACGAGCAATGAGCTTTTTGGCTTATTACAAAGAAAGTAAAATATATCAAATAGAGAACTCTTATTATTACAGAGACATGTTAACAAAGAGAAACAGCATAAAATTGCCACAGAACACCAAATATCCGGCACAGAGAGCAGCTTTTATCCACTTGCTGAGGGTTTATGTGGGTGCAGAGACTTACTCAGTGAGTCACAAGCACAGCATCCCTCTGCTGCTGAAGGGAAGGAGCACGGGGAGCAGGCAGCCAGGGGGGTTCTGACCCACCCCGAGGGGCTGGGACACCCTGCCTGCCCACATCCACCCCCAGTGCCCACGGCCACGGGTGGAACACAGACTCTCTGTAACCCCAGCATTCTGCCCAAATGTGTGAGGACACTTTGTGCAAGTCAAAGAGGGAAGAGACAAGGGACACTCCGTTGTTCCTCAAATGCAAACACTGTCCCTGTTTAACCTCAAGAAGACACAGGAAGGCTGGAGGAGGTGATACCAACCCCAGCCTGTGCTAGTGTGTGCTCTGTGCATGCCACAAAAGGGGGGAACCTTTGCAAACAGGGCAGCACCCAGCCAGAAAAATAATTAAAAGTCTCCATTAAGTTGGCACATTCTGACTCATCTCCTGCAAAGCATCCAGTATCTCAGTGTGCAACCAGAGAGGACTCTTAGAGCACGCCACTAAATAGATATCTTTAGCAATAGAAAATGGGCCATGCCTTTATTTTATACAGAGATAGATAATTTTAGCATACATTATGTTATTGAAGCATCCAGGGCAAGAGCTCAGCAAGGGGAGGGACAGCACAGGGACTGCAGGGCTGGCTGGTGGTGGGAGGTGACTGGGGGCAGCAGCTCTCTGCTTGGAGAGGCTGGTGACACCTCACGTACCCCTCAGCATTCCCTACAGACCACAGGGACAACCCCACGGCCCAGAGCAAGGAGTGGTACTGCAGGGAGGGTCCTGCCCCAGCTTCACCTCCCTCACCAAGCACCCTGTTCCCTGAGCCAAGCACAAAGGGCCTCTTGGACATTATGGCAGTGACATGTGGATGCTGCTGGCTCTCCAGACTCAACCACAGCCTCTCCAAGCAGAGAGCTGCTGTCCTGGCTCTTGCTCCTGCTGAGCTGAGCTCCCTGCTGAGGCAGGGGGTGCTGCCAGGAGCCTGCCAGGCTCAGGTGGGCACAGGTTGGTGATTCCTGCCCTGGGAATGCTGCATGCCATTGCACCATTTGATCTGTTTCACTGCTTCTGGCATGACACAGGGCTGAGGAAGAGCCCCTCCTGCCCTCACTAAAGGCAGCATCCTTTATCCCACACCCTCTGTTATGGAATGGTGCCCATCCATGCACAAATGCTGCTCCCAGGGAGATGCCAACGTCTGTTCCCCTTGTCCTCCATCTGCTGCCTTGGGCAGGAGCTGATGGGCTGAGCCATGGCCCAGACTGAGCCAGCTCAGAAGCCCCCACACCTCGGAGATGAGCCAGAGCAGAGTCAGGGAATCCACATGGGAACATGGAGATGGTTGGTCTCAGCCCAAGCCCAGGGCTCAGCCAGCCTGAGGAGAGCCTCAGGGACAGCTTCTTTGGGACTGTGAACACAGTGAAATTCTCCTTGCTTTATTAAAGCAAAAACAGACAAGAAAATGCAGAAAAAAACCCAAAAAAAGCATGAAGATAAATGGCAGGAGTTGGACTTTGGTATTTCTTAAAGCCTCTTCTTCCCCAGTTCCTGCAGCAGCTCATGAAAATCCACATGGAAACAGCATTAATTCCCCCAGCAAAAACACACAGGTGCTGCGAGTCCTGGCTCCCACATTTCCTGGTAATCATATTGTAGAAACCCAACTTTCGAATGAACAAGTTGCACAAGTTTACTGTGATAGTGAAGAGACAGAGAACGTGACCTCAATGCCCCTGACTGCCCCTCTGTCCTGGGCTGGGGGTGCCCCCCGTGAGCTCCTGCCTTGCTCAGCACTCGCTGTCCAGAGCAGCTTCACACCGGGTGACACACACGGGGCAGGTGATGCAGAATCCTTCCCCTGCTCCCCCACTTCTCATTCACATGGTGCTCCCACCAGCCAAGCAGGGTTAGGGCAAATCCCTGTTAGGTTTGACCTCTTTTCGTTCTCCCAGCAGATGAACACCCAGCAGGACACTGCCACACTCATTAGCCAACCAAACCTTCACTGGCACGAGCCTGTGTGAAGCACAAAGCTCTCCCAAAGTTGCTGTTCCAACTGCTTGGAGCCATCCTGAGCTGGTAACAGGCACTGGGAATCACCACTCATCTGCTCACCGAGCTCTGCTGTGAAGAGCCAGGGAAATTTCCAGAAGACAGGGATGCACCAGCTGGAATTTTTTACTGGTTCATTTGCAAATATCTGTAGCTCACATCATCACTGAAAATGCCAGCAGCCCCCTGGCATGGGGGAGCCTCTGAGGGCAGCAACCCGCTGGCTGCCAGCCAGAAAGTTCACCTACGGATTCTGCTGCTGCCTACATGAGAGGATTTCAGGAGGAGCAGGATCACAGCCATATCTAGCAGAGGAAGGAAAATCATTGCAAAGAAAGATCCTCCCCTTTGATAGGGGTTTTTCCCCACTCCTTCTTATAATGAAAATCCCGTCAAAAGGTTGGAAAGCATCAGGGAAATTGTTTGTTTTACTCCAAGTGTGTAAAGGAGCATCTGCACCATGATGGCATTTCCTGGAGAGCTGGCCACAGGGTGGGCACAGGGCTCTGGGTGGGCACAGGGCTCTGGGGGTGCTCGCTGCCCTGGGAGGGTGCAGAGTTTGCTGTTTGTCTGTGCTGGCACAAGAATCCCTCGTAGATGTCTGGGTTGGTAATGCCAGGCCATGTCACAGCCCATGATGACATGTGTGACCCTGACATGTGCAGTCACGGACAGCCTGTGTGGGTCTGGGCAGGTGGTTCTGATCTACTCAGGATGTGCAGGAAGAGGGGAACTAAAACACCACAGGGCACGTAGGCTTGGCTGCTGTGTGTGTGTGGGGACAGGCTGGGTGTGTGGGGTGGTGCACACGGGATGGGGTGTGAGTGGTGTGTAAGGGATGGTGTGTGTGGTGTGTAAGGGATGGTGTGAGGGTGGTGTGTAAGGAAAGGGGTGTGTGATGTGTAAGGGGTGGTGTGTGTGGTGTGTGTGTGTATGGTGTGTAAGGGATGGTGTGAGGGTGGTGTGTAAGGGGTGGTGTGTGGGTGGTGCACATGGGATGGTGTGGGTGGTGTGTAAGGGATGGTGTGTTTGTGGTGTGTAAGGGATGGTGTGTAAGGGATGGTGTGGTGCACACAGGACCATGCACATGGGACAGTGAATGCACAGTGGTTTCCTCCTGGGCTCAATAAGCCACTGCCATTAGTGGAGCTGTGTGTGCTGCCTCCAAGAGCAGGGGGTCTCTTGGTGCTTCCCTTGCAGCCCCCCAAAGTGCCATGGTGGCAGCAGCCAGTTCCCACAGCCACCTCTCCATGGACAGGATTCAGAGAAGAGACCCATGGTCCCACAGGTCCCACACACCCTGGCTTTGGTCTTGGCTCCACAACACTCATCTGCTGGGACTGGAAAAAATAGTTGGGACAAAATGTTTGGGACAAATGAAGGGAAAGAGCATAGCTGGAATCCCAAGCCTGCAGAGCCATGACAGGAGCAGAGCAGGTGTGGGGCAGGGCTGCAGGTGCCCAGGGGAGCCAGGCAGGTGTGAGGTCCGAGGGCATCAGGCACTTTCAGAGGTGGCTTCAGCTTTGTCAGGGAGCAGCAGCTGGCACGGACAGGAATGTGACTGCTGAGCACCAGGGGTCTGCGGGGCAAACCAAGACCCAGCTGGACAGGCTGTAAGAAAAACATGCCAGGTGGAGAACAGGAGGCAGCCATGGTTGGGGATCTCCAAGGTGATGTTCCTTAGGCCTTCTGCTGCAGCCTGTCCGCTCCATCGCTCGTGTCTCGGCACTGCAGGCCGGTCCCAGGGCCCAGTGACCAGAGCAGATCCCACCGTGGCTGCAGGGCCTGTGAACTCCTCAGCCACAGATTTGCCTTGTCCCCCAGCTCTGCTCTGCTTCTCTTCTGCAATGTTTGAACTTATCTGCTTCCCAGCACTATAATGCAAACAAAACATCTGGAAGGAGGCTGGCGACACAACCCACACCCAAACGCGGAGCTGCAACCTGCTTAGGGTTGTATTCCTTTTATAAAAATCACCCCAAACCCACCAACCGCTGGCACTTCTTCTGCTGTCCCGTGGCCCTGGGCTGCTGAAGTCACAGTGACAGACAGAGGGGAACACTCAGACATGGTGCCACTGCCCCCAGCAGTCCCTGTCCAGCACCGCGAGCAGCTGGAGCCAGGCAGAGGTCGGCGCCAGGGGTTCAGTTCAGAGATACCTCAGGAAAATAGTAATCTCAGGAATCCCAGCAGGTCTGTCACTGCCTGTCCCCTTGGCCACCGCCGCAGAGGGATTCCCCAAGGCACTGCAGGACAGTAGTGCAGAAGTAACAGGCAGGAGATGGCTGGAATGGGGGTGGCAGCACGGGGAACCCTCTGAAAGATCACTGTGCGTGGAAGTAGATAGGCTTGACTTTTCCAGACAGGATCTTGGGAACCTGCACAGAGATGATCTCGGCCATCATTTCTGGGTAGTCCACGCTCACCATGTGTGCCTTGATTAGGAGATCAAATGTAAACTGATGCAGGTCCTTGGCAATCTGGGAAAGGAAGAGAGCTGGTTAAACAAGTCCCAGGGCAGTGCTTTCTCTGGGAAGATACATGACAGAGGTCCCACCTTCCCTGGGAAAGGGAAACTGGGTGAGACTATCCAGTGCTCTCTCCAATTGCATCTGAACTCCTCCCATGATGGGGAGGTTGTTCCAGGGAACGATCATTCTCACTGTGAAAAGTTTATTTTTTATATTGATTCTTATGCATTTAGATGGACATTAGGTGTGCAGATGGACATTTCCCTGTCCTCTCTTACCGGATGCACGGAGTCCAGGACCTTGGTGAGCTGGTAAAACCTCCGGGAGCAGGAGGTGGGGTTCTTCCTCTTGCAGGCAATGATACGGTCAAGTTCCTTGATGTAATTCATGCGGAGCTCATCGAAGAGCTTCTGGTTCTTCAGGCCATCCACTGGAACTGGGTAGGAGGGGAAGGAAACTGTGAGAGGAGCCCAGAGAGTGACAACAACAGGAGAGCAGGAGGAAGGCTGAAGCAGGGGATACCCCCAGCCTCCTCCTGGGAAGTGAAAGTCCAGGCACAGGGAAAGCACCAGATGCCTCAAGGCAATGCAGCAGCAGGTGCTGATGCTCTGTGGAGGGAAGGGTGTGACACTTACTAATACTGAAGAAGAGGAGAGCCTTCATACAGAGGAACTCCTGGGGTGTGATCTGGAGCCACCCAAATTCCTGGGAGAGGTGCCGCATCCTGATGCACTGGCTGTACATCCTGGATTTGTGCATGCGGTACCTGCCAGGGTGAGATGGTACAGATGGCACGGAGCCCACAGTGCACGTGTGTGACAGGGGGGACACTCCCTGTGCCAGCAAACCCCCCCTTGCCTGGCACACCCTGCTGCCAAGGGCCCGAGCTCTGTCCCAGGGGTGCCACATGCAGGAGTGGAGCATTTTCCAGAATGCCTGGACACAGATGGCTACAAGGGGCATGCAGCGTCTGTCTGAAGAGTGACTGCAATGATTTCCCAAACATTTCTGTCTGTGAGGGATATGAGGCCGAGTTGGAGCTCCCAGGCAGGTGGGGGTTTGCCTGCTGCTGTGCTTGAAGCATTTTCCAGAATGCCTGTGTGTGATCCTCACTGGACACAGATGGCTACAAGGGGCATGCAGCGTCTGTCTGAAGAGTGACTGCAATGATTTCCCAAACATTTCTGTCTGTGAGGGATATGAGGCCGAGTTGGAGCTCCCAGGCAGGTGGGGGTTTGCCTGCTGCTGTGCTTGGTTATTGGGTTCAGGCTCCTCTATCTACGTGCCAGCAAACGCTACGTGCCAGCAAGCTGGTGGTACACCAAGGAGAGCCCACCAGGACCTTACAGTACATTTTGTGTCTATCTCTGCTCACCCTAGCTGACCAACAGAGCTGGAATTCAAACCCCCTAGCAGAAAGGCAGAAATGGAGCAGCCCCTTACCCCACACCAGCTTCTGCTGCTGCCCCAGTGGGTGTCAGCCCATGGCAAGGCTGAGGGAGCAGGCAGAAGGATCTGGAGAGGCATCACAGTGCCCTCACTGCTCCTGGAGGTCACCATGGGTGGTGGCAGTGGCGAGCAGGCTGGGCTCGGCCAGGCTGGGCTGGGCAGCTCAGTGTGACTGCTCTAAGTGTGGATTATCACCTCCAAAGCCCAGCATTAGGCTGAGGTTTCACACTTACTCATTGAAGACCAGGTCTGGAGCGAAGTAAAGCATCCTGGAATTGACGTTGGTGAAGGATCTCCAGCCCATAGCAAACACCATCAGGCCCATCCAAGAGTACTGGATTATTGACATCTGGTCATCCACATGCAGGTTGCGAAATCCTAATAAACAACGAGGGAGGGATGTTACAAATTACTGTTGCGTTCCTGCAGTTTCCAGGGCTGTTGCCAGGCAGACTCCAGCTCTCCTGCAGCGCTTCTCTTAGGACAAGGTGGTCAGTCCACAGCCCAAGCTCAGCCAGCTCATGTCTCAGGACAAGAGTCATGAGATGGAGCTCCCACCTTGACTGGGAATCAAGGATAGGCAAGCACAAACCTGTCCCTGGAAGGGAAGAAAGGGAACTTCAGAGACAAAGAGGGGAGAAAGTCCCATTAGGACTTCACCAAATTTAAGTAACTGGATTTTAATGTGATGCTCAGAGCCAGCAGGCAGCCCCTAGGCCTCCCACCATGGTTGCAGGTGCTCTGGTTTCTGCCCCATACACACTGCATGGATCTCTTGACTGTGGGAATGAGCATGGAAGCCTCAGCTACATTGCAAGAGAAACAAAAATAGCAACAAAATTCAGATTATCATTCCCAAATGGCAGCCCAGAGTTAAATCCCAGGCATGCTTACACCACCTCCAACGCTGTTTTTTTCAACATGCTTGTAAATAGGCAAATATAATTGAGTTTCAAGGCAATCATGCATTATTTCAATCAAATATTAAAGCAATTTAACAGCTCCAGTGTATAATTATAACCCATTGAGGCAAGGATCTCTGTGCTTTGGAGAGCTCTTCAAGGCAAACAAGCTGGAGAATGAACCTTGCCCAGATGCCACCCTGGCACAGTCAGCACTGGCCCCGGGGGGCAGCAGGGCAGCAGCTGACACTGCTACACACTGAGGGCTCGGGCATCAGCTGCACTTCAGGAGAGTAAAACCCTCTGATAAAGGGGTGCTTATGATAGAACTCATTTCCCACAGCACTCTCCCTTTCCATCAGCACCACTGCAGTGGTAGAGCCTCAGCCCTGGATGCCAGGTGGCTTTGGTGGTGCCTCTGTGGATCTTGATGCCTGGTGTAGACAAGCCAAAGAGGAAGCAGGATTTGTCCCTGGTTTTACAAGCCAAGTGACTCAAGAATAGCAGAAACAGAATGGGCTACTCTGCATTTAAGGGTGTGCAGACCAATATGCCATTGGGAGCACCAGTCTAGGGGGCTGCTAAACTCCTGGGAACGTCAGACACCTCACCACAGCTCATCACCAGGGTTTGGCAGAGAATGGAAAACTTACTGTGCATCAGCCCACACACAAGAGGAGTGGGGTCCCTCTTTTCTCTGGTGTCCCAGAAGGCAGCAGGAGCTGGCCCCATCCCAGTCTGGGATGCTGGGAGGTGAGCTGGGTCCTGCTGTGCCCAGACTGAGCTCAGCCCTCTGCAATCCCACTCACTCAGTTCCAGGATTACAAGGTGGAACAGCAGCATGTCACCAACCTTGCAGAGATGCCTTGCAAATCCAGCCCAATGAACACATCATTCACCGGGATGCTCCATTTACTGCACCTGCTGAGCAGCATCTGGAAAATTCCTGACCCCTATTACCCCTCTTTGGCATCACAAATATATCACACCAGGCTGTCACATGGGCAACCTGAGTGACTGCCAGGAAAAGCCCTTTGGGATTCTGCATTGCTCTTCTGCCATGTTGCTGTTTACCCTTTCGTCACTTCAGGTGGGTTCTGGGACAGGGCTGATCCTTGTCCAGAGGGGAGCTCTGCAGGGCTGGCAGACACGGCTTGGAAGTGGAGCAAAACCTCCATGGAAAGAGGGAGAGAAGAGCAGGACCCTGAGCCCAGAGCAGCTGCAGCCCTGCCATGGGGGGAAGTGCCCTGTGCCCGCATGGTATCACTGACCAGGGGCTATCTGAACCCAGAGTTTAAGTTCCAACACATTCCATCACCTCTCAGCTCCTTCTCCCACCATCAGCCCCTCTAGAGACAAGTCCCAGGCTGCTTCCCAGGCAGGGGACACGCACACTGCCCATGGAGAAGGTTCCCCAGGAGCTGTGTGATGGGACAGGGGCTGCAGACCACCCCTTGTGCACCTGCCCCAGCAGTGCAGATGGGCTTTAGAACTGAGAGGGGATTTTTTGCTTTCCTCCTCACCTGGCAGGGCCTTTGCCCATTTGACCACGTAGACCAGCTGCCTCTCCCCAAGCTCATTCAGGCTGGTCAGCAGGTTGGAGAAGGAGTCAGGCTGGCTGTTGTCGTGGCCAGCACACACCACGCCAGGCTCGATGGCCTCCAGGACGTTGAGGAAGATGGGCTGGCACTCGTAGCCATCAATGCGTGTCATCACCAGCTTGGGAGCTTGCTCCTCCGTTGGGCTGGACGAGCTGGCTCCCTCCATGTCGTCCTGTGCCTTCAGGTTACCCAGTTTCTTCAGCTTGCGGGCTGTGGGAACAATACAGTTTAGTGTGATACTTAAAAATATGTTTAAAAATGTCAGGGCTTCTTGGCTCCATCATTGTAGTTACGAGGAAAGGAAAAGTGATGACCAGCAGCAGTTCCTCCCTCAGTAGGCACTGCCCAAGGAGTGCCCTGGCATTGGGGTTCTCACCTAAGGACAAGAGGAGAACACACTGTGTGACAAAATCCATTTTGTTGTTAATCTGACATGGAAAAAACCGACATCATTTACATCCTCTCAACGACCGGTCTCTAACTCCCACTTAAAAACAGAAAGGAAGATCCAGGGAAGAGAGGGAAGAGGTTTTAACTCAACTCAAGCCACTGCTTGTATGCAATCAAAAAGAGAAGCAACACAAGATGATAAACTCAATACACAGTCATGTTCCAGGGAGAAAAAACATCACACTTGGATGCCCAAGTGGGATTGTTCCATCCCAGACCAGGGCAGAAGCAGGATGCATCTGAGATAAAACTCAAAAAGAGGAGCAACACAAGATGATAAACTCAATACAGTCATGTTCCAGGGAGAAAAAACATTGCACTTGGATGCCCAAGTGGGATTGTTCCATCCCAGACCAGGGCAGAAGCAGGATGCATCTGAGATAAAAACCTTCTCCCTGCAATGCCTGCTGCCCACAGCCAGGCTCTCCCAAACACACGGCACACATATCACAGAAAACACTTTTCAGAAGCCAGCAGGTGATTCCAGGGCTGTTTCTCTGGATACCCCACCGAGGGGGAGTGGACTGAGCTGGGTGGCCTCACTTTGCTGTGCATCAGCAGAGCAGGCAGCTTGCAGGGGAACCAAAGCAGCAGGTGGCTCTGCCTGTGCCCAGCATGAAAAGGTGTTTTCCCCACACAGCTGCCTCTTAACCACGGCTGGCACGCCAGCACTGCAGAGGTGTGACACCAGAGGTCTTGGGGAGTCTGTGTTCCCCTCACTGGTAACAGCATGACACTGCTCAGCACAGGTGGCCTGCTCCTGCCACCCCTCACCAAATCCAAACCCCAACTAATTAGAAAACAAAAGCCCATGGCTTCCTTCAGCAGGTAATGCAACATCAAACCAGTTGTCCTTGGGGTTTTGGCTCCTTCATTATATGATACTTATCTTGAATTTCCTTTCAGCTGTAATTAGAAAAATAAGCAGCAAAACATAAAAATGTCAAATCAAAGTGCAGCTCTGTAAATTAACTCCAAACAATTTTAAGCATTGTACTCTGTATGATCTGCTGTATGGGTAATGAAGACAGGCTTCTCTGTAAAATGGGAGGAGAAAGGATTAATAAAAACAAAGGAGAGCAAGAGGAAAACAGTGCTGCAGCACAGTATGATGGCCTCTGGCCATCAGCCATACGTTTGATATGGCCTCCTGTCCCTTGCCTCCAAAGCCACAGCTCTGCCAAGGCCACCACTAACCCACAAGTGCCACAGCCATACATCTGCTAAATCCCCCCAGGGATGGTGACTCCACTGTGACAGAGTTTGGATTTAGAAATAACCACTGCCCCAGGTCATGTGTGTGAGCAAAGCCAAACCCACACGTACAAAACACTCATATGGTTTGGTTTAAATGCTTGGGTTTTTTTCCCTTAATATTTAATTATCTAGTATTAAAAGATCCTGACTGAAGTGAGAAGACAACAAGTACCTACTGCATTGGCTCTGAAAGTGCAGCCACAAACCAGACTCCTGTGTGACAATGGGTGATAACTGTGCTACCCAGACAGGCCTCGGGTCTGTGCATTCCAGGAGCACTGAAATACTGACATTACCAGGTGGAGAAAACCTTCAGAGGTGAAGACTGGCTTCTACCCAGTCACCTGTGCCAAACCCCTTTGTGGTGAGGGCTTCTGCTCAGCAGGTAATATAAACAAAAATTTGAAAACCATAATTAAAGACATCTGCAATGTTTTTACTCTAGGATGAGCTAAGCTGGGTAGAAGTCGACGTTGCACTTCTTCAAACCAAGGTGGGAGGAGCCTTAGGACATGGGATCAGTATTGGGATGCTCCTGCTTGGCTGTCAGAGGGACAGGGCCCCAGGGAGCCTCGAGGCACAGCTGCAGCACAGCACTGCCCCAGGCCCTGCAAGCTGACCTGGGGGTCTCTGGGGAACTACTGGATGGATTTGGAAAAAAGCTTAAAGGACACAATTATAGATCACAATAAAATATTTACCAATGCAAGAACCCCCGTGAGCACACTCAGAGCAATGGCCAAAGTGATGCACATTTTAAGCATCTCCCTTACAGACACTTCTAAAGCTCTGAGGAAGGAGCACTCTGGGCTCCAGCACCAATTTTCATGATGCCAGGACTTAGGGAAGTTATGGAGACCTGGAAGAAGCTGCTCTTGCACTGGCTACAGTGGAGAGATCCTGCAGCACACGTCAAGCTCAGCTGCCAGTGGGACACTGAGGAGCTGAACAGGACTTGATTTATATCCTGCTGCCCTTTGCAGTTTTTATGAACTTCACACCAGACTTGTCAAAACCTGAACCTGTCGAGCTATCAATCTTGTGTGGCACAACAATTTCAGTTGATAATAATAACATTACTGGTTGTGGCAGACACATTTAAGAGATCTGAGTCAATCAGGTCCACGTGACTGAAAAGAACTTGAAGGATGTAACAGTAGATAGTATTGCTGAATTATTGCAAACCCCCTAGTGATACATCTCAAAGGCAATTTAAGTGTTGAAACAACATCAGACAGGTTTGTTTCTTACAAGGGTGGCTCATTGATACATTCACCCCAAAACCAGCTTGTATGGCAATGTGTGGATGGGAAAATAGGGATGAACATTAAGGATGATCCCTGAACAGATGGACTGAGGTCAGCAGACAAGGGCTGACAGGTGTTGGCAAACTGCAAAAGCCATGAGGACACTGAAGATTTGACAACACATCTTGGAGCAAGGAGTTAAGGAATGTCACTTGGGTGGCTGTGTAGGAGGCAAAAGGGTGATTGAGTCACAGGTAACAAATACCCACTGTGGGGACAGAAAAACAATAAAATTAGGGGTTTTAATCAAGCAAACCAAGTTGGAATAAAGATCCAATTGCTGTAAGTCAAGGGCAGACCAGATGAAAAATCAGGTACAGCCAACATAACACTGATTGTAACTACTGCAATGGCTCTGCAAAAATTGTGTCAAATTCCCTCTGGCAGGAATCAATACCCACTGTGTGGTGAGACATGAGCTCTGCTCTGCCCCCAGCAGCTGAACCTGAATTAGGACTAAACACACCCATGCCTCAAGCCTGGGCTTTCACAAGCTTTTGGCTGTCACTGCAGGAGATTTCTAGCTCTACCATAAACAAAATGAAAGGAATTACACCTGTTTGGAGTTTTTGCTCCAGCCAGGACCCACATGGCTGCAGCTCAGGTGGCTGCCAGCTCTGGCTGTGGGCACAGGAGCTTGGAGTTCCCCACAGGAATAGCCCCTGGCACCTCTCATGCTCCCTGGGCTCAGGGCTGGCAGGATCCCTGCAGCTCTGCCCATCCCAGGACATTTCCTGGGTTCAGGGCTGGCAGGATTTCCACAACCATGCCCATCCCAGGACACTTCCTGGACTCAGGGCTGGCAGAATCCCTGCAGCTCTGCCCGTACCAGGACATTTCCTGGGTTCAGGGCTGGCGGGATTTCCACAACCATGCCCATCCCAGGACACTTCCTGGACTCAGGGCTGGCAGAATCCCTGCAGCTCTACCCGTACCAGGACATTTCCCGGGCTCAGGGCTGGCAGGGTTTTCACAGCCATGCCCATCCCAGGACATTGCCTTGGTTCAGGGCTGGCAGGATTTTCACAGCCCTGCCCATCCCAGGACATTTCCTTGGTTCAGGGCTGGCAGGATTTTCACAGCCCTGCCCATCCCAGGACATTTCCTTGGTTCAGGGCTGGCAGGATTTTCACAGCCCTGCCCATCCCAGGACATTTCCTTGGTTCAGGGCTGGCAGGATTTTCACAGCCCTGCCCATCCCAGGACATTTCCTTGGTTCAGGGCTGGCAGGATTTTCACAGCCATGCCCATCCCAGGACATTTCCCGGGCTCAGGGCTGGCAGGATTTCTGCAGCCATGCCCATCCCAGGACTTTTCCTGGGCTCAGGACCAGCAGAATCCCTGCAGCTTTGCCCATCCCAGGACATTTCCCGGGCTCAGGGCTGGCAGGATCCCTGCAGCTGTGCCCATCCCAGGACATTTCCCAGGTTCAGGGCTGGCAGGATCCCTGCAGCATCTTCCCCAGCAGCAGACACAGGCGCAGTGGGATGGGGGGCACAGGGCAGCACACCAGTAGTACCCAACACACTAAAACAGCATTATCACTGGTTTTCTGCTTTTTTTTTTTTTTTTTCCTTTTCCCTCCCTACAATGTCTTTTCCCCCTCTGTAGAGAGAAGATCCTGCTTAGTGGATACCAGCTTGCAGGTCACTGTGATCTCAATCAATAATGAAGTGCTTCAACACATTGCCATCCTGTTCCAGAGCCCAGCCTGCAGAAGGCATTCAGTGTGTCACCTCCCCCTTCTCCTTCTCCTTCTCCTTCTCCTCCTCCTCCCCCACGAGAGCCGCAGGGCTGCCGGGGATGTACCCCATCAGTGACTGTAATTAACCACCAGTTAAAAACAACTGGTTGGAGCTTGGGAGTGATTTCAAACGCCCTGCCTCCGCTGTGGGAGAGGTTACTGTGGGCAACCACAAGCTTGCCTGTTTGTAACAATTGCCTTTACACCGACATCCAAACCAAATGTAAAATAGACCAGGCAGAACAGGTCAGGGTGACCCAAAGAGCTGAAGAAAAAAGAAGGGAGCGGGGTATCCGTATTAGCATTAATTTTGTCAGTGTGTCCTGCAGAAGAGGGTTACGCTGATGTATGTCTTCTCCTACTTATGGAAACTTCACCAGAAAAAAGCACTTTAAAATAAGCTAAGAAAAGGGAGTGAGAACTGCACTGCCTTTGGGGAGAAATCAAACTAAACCCTCTGCTCCTTGGTGAGTCACAAACCAGTGCCACTTCAGTAACAAGTCCTTCAAGACAGTGTTGTTGCAGCCCAGCAGCTCTGGAGGCTCAGCCCATCCCAGCAATGGGGTCAGGATTTAACCCAGAAATGCTGACCCACCCAAGCAGTCTGGGCAGCCTCTGTGCCCCTGTGCTGTGCCTGGCACTGCCAGGGTTCCTCTCTGCAGCCCCAAAGCTCCCTCAGTTCAGGGCTTCCCAGCAGGGACAGGTCTGTCAGCCCCCTTTTCCAGGGTATTTTCATCCTCACATAATCACAGAGTGATTTGGGTTGGAAGGGATCTTAAAGTTCATCCCATTCCACCCCCTGCCATGGGCAGGGACACCTTCCACTATCCCAGGTTGCTCCAAGCCCTGTCCAAGTTTCCAAGGCTTTGGAAACTTCCAAGGATGGGCAGCCACAGCTTCTCTGGGCCCCCTGTGCCAGGGCCTCACCACACAGGGAAGAATTTCATCAAATGAACTCAACAAGAGACACGCAGTGATCAACACTACCTGACAGACTATGAGCAGAAAAACTCAGATTTTGGATACCAGCACCGTCAGTTTTGGAGGGCTACAGGTTTGGGAACAGAGACAGATGTAACAAGGACCCTCACCATGGACACAGGAACAGCTTCCATACAGGAAAAAAAATATTACTGAGGTTGTAATTTCACCAAGAAATTGCTCCTTTCTGCCTTGGAATAATCCCATCAAAAGAGGGGAGTGCCCTGCTCTGCGGCTCCAGGAGCCAGAACCAACTCACCCTGCTGTTGATATTTTCCTAGATTCACAAGGCTTGAAAAATAGGGAAAAAATACATTTCCCGAAACACAAACAAAAGCTACCGCCATTCACCAGGTATCAAAACCCCGATAACACTTCCTGGGGGTGCACCCATCAGCCTCCCCTTGCTGCCTGTCCTTCCCCGTGACCCTGCAGGCCCTGCGGGACGCGGCCGTACCTCCGAGCGTCATGCCGGCCTCGTAGCACTTGCGCAGGCGGCAGGAGGGGCAGTTTTTCCGCCGGAACTTGTCGATGGTGCAGTCGTTGCGGCTGGCACAGAGGTACTTCTGTTTACCTGGAACACCAGAGAGACAGAGCATGGGTGCTGGGTGACAACAGAGACACGGGCTGGGCTCTCCTGGGATCGCCGAGGGCGGCCTGGAGAGTTGGTTCTTGTTTTTTTAAATGTTGTCCATCTATTGCGTGGCTTCTGGTGGTTTTCTACCAAACCAAACCCCACAGTTTGGTCCTTCTGCCACAATACTCACCCATCAGTCCCCTCAGAACCATGATGCTGTACAGACCTTTCTGGGACTTAATTATTTTTTGCGCAACCCACTGATACCAGTTGGATCTGTTGTCTCCAGGTTACAGATATTGGGGCTGGGGAGTTGCTGCTCCACAGGTGATGCCACCCTGTCCCCTGGGACGTATCTGCAGTCAGCCAGGAAGGAACTGGGACCAGCAACTCCCTGTACAGGGGACCTTGTGCAGCTGTGGGTTTTGGGGAGGTGCAGAAAATTCAGGAGTTACTTTTGGTGGGAGTCACCCATACCTCAGACTCAGCCTGCACTTGCTCAGAGAACAGCCTGTGCAGCTCCAGGCCATAGCTTTTTTTCACTTCCCTGTTTGCCAGACAATCCAAGAATCATCACTTATCAAGTCTGAACACATTTACTGGATCAGGATTTATCTGATGTTCTTCAGGCTGCTCCAAACCAAAGTGGACTCATCACACAACAGAGAGCTGCAGCTTATAGACCCACAGGCAGCCCACACGGGAAACCAGCCCATGCCCTTTATTCATCATCCTGCAAGGGGTTACCTTCTGCACTCCAGGAAGAGCCCTATTACTCCTTATTGGAGTAACCAGGAATCTATGAACAGGATGAGGCTGAATCCAGCCCCTGAATGTGCCAGTTTTGACATGAGATGCGCCAATTTTGGCGCACAGATTTTACAATCCCCCACACCTCCCCCACTGCTGCCCTCACTGCCACTGCCTGAGGCTTTCACTCTCCCCTCCTGGGTCCCCCCAGTTGTGCCTGGTCACAGTTTTGGCAGGACCAGCTGCCACTGTCACCCCCACAGACCCCTCTGGCAGGACTCAGCACCCAGCCCACTCCTCCCACAGAGCCCAGGGGCTGCACAAACACCCCATGTTTGACCTTCTCAGAACTGTCCTCTTCAAAGTGGATCATGATCCACCCCTGTGCCTCAGTATCACCTGCATTACTCACCACATCTCACACCTGTTAAATCATTTTAACACTGTCCTCAGAACAGCTCTTCTCACCTTCTCCCTGGCTCATTTCCCAAGAGAAGGATACTCATGCAAGCCTTGATGACACCTAAATCCCTAAGGACCCTAAAGGGAGCACAAACACCATCCTCCCTTTCAGCAGCTCATTGAGGAGGAGGATGAGTAACAAAGAAGTTCAGCTGAAACTGGGTTACTTGGAGTTATTTTTGTGCCGGGGCACTGAGCACTGAGGCCACACTCGCTCCACTCAACCTTCTTAGGTGCTCACAAACGGGTGCCCTACTTTCTGGGCAATGAAGAGCTGGAAGGAGATTTGGCTGCCTGAGCCCCCAGAGGTGTTCCAGGACCAGGCACAGCTGTGTCAGGAGCAGCACCCCACATTCCCAGTCCCCTGGATCCCAGTCCCTGCTCAGCCCCAGGCTCTGGACAGATCCCAGCACGTGGGCTCATCCCCAGCCCGCTCATCCCCGCTGGGCACCCATGGGAGGGAGCAGGGATGATGTTTGGTACAAGCCCAGGCCTTGCTCCATGAGGCCACTGTGCTGTTCCCCATCTGCTCCTCAGCAGCATCATGGGCTCATCCCCAGCCCGCTCTGTCCCCACTGGGCACCCATGAGAGGGAGCAGGGATGAGGTTTGGTACAAGCCCAGGCCTTGCTCCATGAGGCCACTGTGCTGTTCCCCATCTGCTCCTCAGCAGCATCTCCCAGCTCCAGAACTGCTGAGAAGGGACAGGGAGAGGGAGCCTCTCCCAGGAGCCAGGAGCAGGCAGAGGGGTCTGGGGCACAAACAGGGCACTCTGGAGGAGGCTGCAGGGTGGCAGTGCCACCCCAGAGCAGCACAGGCTGGGAGCTGCAGCCAGCAGCTCTCGCCACGGTCACGGTACAGTGACACTGCTGAGATGGCCAGCCAGCTCCATGGGTCATGGACAGGCTCCTCGGGGCAGGAACCTGCTCTCTGCTGCCTGAGCCTGCACAGGTGAGCCCTGTTTGCTTTGTGCTGTTCTCTGGTGACAAAAAGAGAAGCCAACAGCCACAGCTGGTCATGGTGCTGCTGCTGGGCGTGAGAATGAGCTGAGCTCACCTCACCCTAATTCCTGGGGATGCAGAGATTTCCCCTTAACCACCAGGAAAGGAACCACCAGCTCTAAAAGGTGGGAGAACAGGGAAGGGTGGCTGGAACGTGCATGAGTTCCTTCCCTCTGAAGTGGAGGGAAGTTCCTTCCCTTCTCACACATAGAGACCTGTTTCTAATTTCAGGGCAATTCACTCTCTTCATTCCAGAGCAAGGTGAGACATTTGCAATCAGCTGTTCTTTATTTAAAGATAAATGTGCTGGTTTTTCCTTCTCTAGAGTTTAACACTGAAACTGCCTCTTTGTTTTCCTTTTCTTCCCTGCAAACAACAGAGATGTTTTCTCAGGTCACTCCAAAGCAGAGCCCTTGCTTTGCAAACCTGAACATACAGATCCAAACCTCACACCCACTCTGGGGTGTTCCCCAGGGGTCCCACTCTTTGCAAGGCCCATCACCCAGCCTGTCCTTCCCCCATAGGGCACTGCCCAGCTGAGGACACTGCAGATGTCACCCAGAGAAGCCTCACCTCCTCCCCTGAGCCCAGGTCCTGTCTGAGATGTGCACAGGTGAGGGGGAAGTCACACCCAGCACTCTCTGCTTTCCAGACCAGCACAGGCACCCCAAGAGAGCATCTTTGCAGCAGCCCCACCATGAGCACACTGCAGTGCTCGTGTCCCCTCTGCCAGGAATGTCCCCCCACCCTGGGCCCCCTCACACCAGGCAGAAAGACACTTCCACCACCTCTGAACCCTCCCACTCATCTCCTGGGACCACAGCACACACTGGGAGCCAAGGGGAAGAACTGCTCTGCAGTTCTTCTTGACTGAGAATAATGATTTATGGAGGTGAGTTGCTCAATCCAGAGGAATCATCTAACTAACATCCTGTTGCCACACGAGCTGTTGTGCCCAGACTAACTTTCTCCTCCACACAACAAAGTAATCTCTGAAAATATCTGGAGCAAGATATACGACTGTAAATGTGAAAAACCAGTAAATGCCTTTTGGAAGACAGAGATCCTCATATTTCAGGACACAAACTGAATTTTAACAGCTGGGGGATAAGGCCAAGCTTTCTGCGAAAGCAATTCCCCCTGGGTCTCATTAACCATGGAGGCTCCAGAGCTTCCCTGGAAAGCCTCTGGTCCTTGGAGCTGCCACCAGCAGGGCCATGCCCAGAGCTGAGCCTGTGGGTTTGGTGCTGGCACCCTTCCCATGTGATGCAACAACTCGAGAGGGCTCAGCCACAAGGCTCCCAGGAGCCAGCGCTGAGCCACCTTTGCAGAGTGGTTTCCTGAACAGCCCTCTGTATTTACCAGATGGCTACAGTGAGCATGGGGAAAGCAGCCAGAGCTTTCCCTGTGCTCTGGTTGTCCCATCTTTTGCTCTCCCCATGACATTTTAAGGCAAATAACACCCAAAGAGTCATGAGAAACCCACCACTGCAGCATCGTGATGCTGCAGCACCACTGAATCTTCTGCAGACTCAATTTCTTTGCATGTCACATCAGCCTGGGAAGGAGGAGAAAGTTTTTTTATAACATGGCAAGGATCTTTGCAAACGTTTACTTTAACTTGGTGTCATCTTGAAATCTGGCAAGAAACTGTTGAGTTGGCCCAGAGACATCTCTCTGGTGTAAGGCTAATCCTCAGCAGGTCAGAACATAGAACACTAATCCATATGGAGAATGATGGAGGCACTCAGAGCAGCCTGCACAGCAGCCTGGCTAGCTGCCTGCTAGGCAAATTGCCAAATACTGTGTTATTTTTTTCATTTAGCTCTCTGCTATTTAAAGACAGCCCCATCAGGAGCACAGCCCAAAGCATCCCAGTCCTACACTGCCAGGAATGCTGTGTGGAGGCAGCTCTGGGCTGGCTAAGGTCACCACCGGATCTCAGAAACCTCAGAGGGACAAGGAAGGTCTGCTTCTCTCCAAGGATACATGCAGAGACACGATGATCCCCCTCCTGGGCAGAATGGGAGAGCAGGAACCCCTGGAATGCTAACTGACACAGGAGCTGCCTGGCTTGAAGCATTTTTCTGTTTCAGGGACAAGGGTGGCATCACAAGGACTGAACTCCCATGTCTTCAACCCACCCCAGCCATGCTCACCACACCCAGAGGTGTGCTGCCTGTAGGGAAAAACAACTTCTGTGCTGAGCTGGATGAGCTTTTGGCTCAGCAGGTGAGGAGGGGGAGCCCTCTTTGTGGGCAGCACCCTGGTGACACCCAGCCCTCCCTGCTGGGACTCCGGGGCTGGTGACTGCAAGGGAGGGCTGGGCTTGCTCACCAAACGAGGGTGGTGACCCTGCAGGTGAGGCAGTGCCCACCAGTCTGTGGGGTGTGCTTCAGGGCTGGCCTGGACACAGCCTGGACATCTTGAGAGTCTGTGAATCACGAGAGCCAGCAAAACGAGACAGGACAACATTCCTGTCTTTTCTATTAACTCTTCAGCATCTTTCTGGAAAAAGCAGTTGAACCTAAACTTGTGAAACCCCTCAAATCTGTCAAATGTTCCATCAAAGCAGAGGTGACCTGCTCCTGCCCATAAACTCCTCCATGTGTCCAAAGGGAAGAAGAATCAGTGTCACAACCTTTTTTTTTAAAAATCTTTTCCCTTTGTCACCCCTTAGAAGCCAGTGCATGTCTATAAAACCTCCTTAAATATCCCTGAACCCCTGCCAGATAAGTTCACTATTATCTCAGAGGAATATAATAAAAAGGAAATGATGAGCCCAGCTATTTCCCTCCCCTCCAAGAAGCTGTTTGTGCTGCTCCAGTCACAGCCCTCTGCTGCTCCCTCCACTAAAGGCTGTGGCTTGACACCAGCACCAGGAAGGTAACAGGTTTCTTTTCTCATGGGGAAGCATTTTGATCTACTGCTGTGAAGTCTCCAAGGGCGACCTAAGGTTTTCTGAGAGGCATTTTATGGACTTTAAAACATGAGAACGCGCTGAAATATCAGCTTTCAGTAATGCTCCTCAGCTTTAAGAGGGAAGAGATCTGTCTGGAAACTCACCAGAAGTTAGAGCAGAAATCACCACCTGCCATCTCTGCATTCAGTGCCTATAAAGGAGCACAATTTACTGTCACTTCCCCAAAATAAAGACTTAGCCATGTACCTCAGGGCAGCATAAGATGAATTCTCAGAATTTGGCAGCCCCCCTGCAAATCCCTGGACACACATATGGAAAAGAACAGGAAAAACAAAGGGCTGCTGCCCAATCCCAACACAACCAAACACTCCCAACCCTCTGCCACACTGCGAGGCTGAAGAACCAGGAAGAAGCATAAACACCATTTAAATTAATTATAAATATATTATATAATATATATATATTTATCTATATAGCACAATTAGGAGACGGAACAGCTCCACAGCACGTGCCTCAGAGCAGCCCAGGCTGCTCCCCTGCCCGTGGGCACCTCTGGTCCCTGTCAGCCACAGGACAGAGCCCACCCTGGTGCCAGGGCAGCACAGCTCCCACACCCACCCGCAGACACAGGCACTGCAGCAGCAGTGCATCTGACTGAGAGCCAAGGCTCCACTTACTATAAATCAACAATAACTTGCTGACTTAAACAAGCATCTGTTATTTACTCTGGCTGCACAAGCCAACCCACTTGGCTTGACACCGAGCTGGTGTGCAGCAGAGACAGATCTGCAAATGATTTACTTGGGAGAAATATGCAAAATTTGTTAACTATTATTTGACTGCCCTTTTTGGCAACACTGATGTCCCCTGTGGCATAACCCCTATTCTTCCCTGAACCAGCACTGACAAGCTGGCTCCTGGCACAGAGGAATGAGGGAAACGTGACTCCAAAAAGAGGCAGGATAATGACAATTGATCTAATTGATGTAGAAGCAGCATTCTGACAACAGCAGGTGAGCACCCCGAGCCTGGGAATGCTTACAGACAGGAGAGGTTGGGCCCAGGGGAAGGTCATGGTGAGACAGAAGTTCCATCCTCTTTTTGCTGCCAGTCCTCTCCCGAGGACACCACAGCCAGTGACACCAGCTGCCAACGGTGTGCCCGCATAAACTGTGTTAGCACCAAGGAATAATGATGGCTTGTGTTGGTTCCTCTCTCCTGACAGCAAGCCTGAGTGACTACAGGCACGTCACATTGCCAGGCAGTCCATCTCCCACAGCAGAGACTCTCACTGCTGCCCAAGAACCACCAAGAACTGCGGGTAGAAAGCAGCCCTTGCTGAGGCACAGCCTAGGGAAACAGCTGGGCTGGCTGCTTCTGCTCATTCCCCAGGAAAGGTGTGCAAAGACCTCGCTGTTGAGAGGGAACATTTGGGTTTACACTTATCCCTGGAGAGCCTATGGAAAGGGACATGAAGGAGGAGTTGCTTTCTCACAGGCTGGAGAGAAGGAGCACACACCCCAAGGCTGGAGAGAAGGAGCACACACCCCAGGGCCAGAGCAGGGCTCCTGATGGACAGAGGGCTGTGCTGTTTCATGGGCTGTCACAGAAGGGACCCTCTGGAAGGGCTGCAGGAGAGGAAAAGCCTCCCCTGAACACCAGTTGTGCATCTGAGACTGCAGGTGGGCTGATGGGAGCTTAAAGCACTCTGGAGAGTCAAGAAGAGAAGCAGGAACTGACTGCTCCAGGCTCTCACCAGGTCACTAAGATAATCATGGAACACAGAAACATTTGGGCTGGAAGGGACCTTAAACACCATCTTAGTCCACACCCCTGCCATGGCAGGGACACCTTCTCAGTGATGAGGTTGCTCAATGCCACTGGAAAGAATTATATTTTGGCAAACTGGTTTGGCTACTTTTTGAGAGCAATCTGTAAACTGAAATGACAAACACCGGAGAGAAAAATCAGTTTATCCTTGATTTTTCTCCTTTCCTGGTTTAAGAAATCTTAGAATGCCACCAGAGTGGGGCAGTGACTTTCCCTCTCCTGTCCCCTTACCTTCAGCTGCCCGTTTGAAGAACACTTTGCAGCTCCCACATGTCAGGGCTCCGTAGTGGCACCCAGATGCTTCATCTCCACAGATCAGACAGGTCTTCTGAGGTGGGAAGTAATAGTCAATGGGCAGGACATGGTCACGGCCAGGCTCCAACCTGCAGCATCAACCAGGGAGAGCAAGAGAAGGGTCAGCAAACGCGCTCAGGACAAGCCGTGGGAGCAGGGTCATGGCAAAGCCAGACTGCAGTCATGGGTCAGCCAAGCTCAGAGCAGCAAGAGGGTGAGCAACAACTGAGCCAAGCCTGGCCCTGACCATGCAGGACCCTGCTGGGTGCCCCAGCTGACAGTGCCCCACTGCATGCAGCGTGTGACAAAGTGTGACAAAGTACAGTGACAGCGACACAGTGACAGTGACACAGTGACAGCACAGCCTCGGGACAGAAGGCGACTGGGACTGGCTGCTGCAGTGCTCATGGAATTTTGGCTTCAGCAATGAAGCTCACACACCAAACAAGGCAGAGCACGGCACTGCCAGCCACTTGATGCCACGTTAACCACCATGCCAGGATGTCCCCCCGCCGACTCCCCTTCTCCAACACCTCACCATTCCACACACCCAGATTCTCCTCTCTCAGCTGTACTGTCCCCTCCCCAGCCTGACCTGATCTGTGTGATCAGACCCATGGAGAAACTGCTTTTCCAGAGGGCATGGCAGGAGGAGAGGGGCTTGTCCAAATCAGGAGCCAACATGTCCAGGCAGTTTGGGAAGCACCAGCACGTTGAGTTAATTACCAGAACTCATTATCTGCAACCACTGAATGAGGCAATTATCTTTTAACAGTCTGCAAGTCACTGCAACTTTTGGGTTAAATTAGACTCCCTTTCATTTTTGGCATTGTTTATTGCTCGCAGGTGAGCTCTGAGAAATCAGGTTACATCAGCAGTGAGCCTGACAAAGATGGGACTTCTTGAAAAAACCTTTATGCCCAGAAAAGCCCCACTGTCCTCACTTGGGAGCTGTGCAGATCCCACCTCAGTTTCAGGTCAGTAACTGGAGCAGCAATTTCATCCTCAGTTCTTATGGTAGATAGCTTTTGAGTGATTCCTCTTCTCTTTAACAGGAGCAGTCAGTGACTGATCTGTAGCTGCAGCTCAACCACCCTTCCCCAACCATCTCCATTCCCAAGGCTTTTCTGGAATTACTGATTAAATGGAGGAGACACAGTTGGCTGCACTGTGCCTGCCACAGTCAAGTCCTGTTGCAACCAACACGTTCCTTTCTTGTCTTATGTGCAATCCCACCTGTGTGTGATCCCACCACCACCTCAGGGTGCTCCCACATCCCCCCATGTGCCCCAGAGCCCTGGCACGGGGTGAGGGGGGCTGCTGGAGAGCAGACCCTGCTGAGGAATACCAGCAGCACACACAAAAGCCTGGCTAAAAATGTCTTATTTATGCAGTGTTTTAGGCTCACACAGAACAGCCCTTCCTGCTAATGACCCAACACCTCTTTGCTCCTCTCTGTGCAGTCAGAAATCCAGCAGTGCTCATTTCCCTGTTTCCACCAGGCTTCCCCTCTGTCTCCCCACGAGCAGCAGGGCCTCTCACAGCAGGAGTCGTGACACCAGACACGGGACTCCCAGAGGACCCTGGGGTGTTTTTGAGGATCAATTATCTGAAACTGCAAAGCAGGTTTGCAATTGAGTGGCTTCTGAAACAGCTTTTAAAGAGCTGTTCATGCATGGAGAGATTTGTGAGAGTACAGAAACACCTTCCAGCAGGTGTGCATCCAGAGTACCCCATACATGTGCCCCTGCCAGGGATGGGGCTGGGCAGGGCTCCCCACACACCCCTCCATGCTCAGCCACCCTTGTCCCCACTGCCACCAACAGATGGAGACTGGAGGACACTGGCTGACATGGAGGGTGATTCCTGGCCGTGGGACAGGCTTGGCAGGTGTGCACAGCCCCACACCCCAAGGGGCAGGACATGGTGTTTAGGCAGGTGGGGAGTGGTTCTACCACAGGCCCTGCAGCACCAATGTTGTTCCCTGCCAGCAGCCACTGCCCAGAGCTGAAGCATCTGCCCAGGAATGCCCTTGACTTTAAAACAACGCCAGTTTCCCTTTTCTTATTTTTAGAGAGAGAATTGCAAGAAAAACGTAATGTAAAAATGTTCTAGCAACTCAGAATGAGCTATGCTAATGGTTCCCTTAACGATCCATTTTCCAGTTTCCAAGGGACATTTACAGGGTGCTCTCAAAACGTGCAGGTAATACATAACACGGGCCAATGAGCCAAAGAGGTGCCTGGAGGAGCTGCAGGGCTGGCAGTGCTCTGGGCACAGCCCCAGGTGCCAGTGCACAGCGGTGCCACAGCTCCTCACCGCCACTGAAGGCACAGGAGGGACACGAGGGGTGGCACAGCATCCACCTCACCGCCTGCAGCTCCAAAGCTTTCCTCCGGCTGGAATTTGTACTCCATGGGGCTGTGCTGGCCCACAGAGCCACAAGAGTGCTCAGGTCAGACCAAAACAACTGCAGGGGGCTCTCAGTTGGGACAATGTGTGGCAAGTGTCACCCCTCTGCAGAGCCCAAAGCAGGCGATAGCGGCCGGGGCAGACACAACCGGGACGCGGCGACGGCGGCAGAGCCAGCACACGCCCCAAGGCCAAGGTCGTGGCTGTCCCAAAGGAGCTGGGTGGCTTTTGGGGGCAGGGAAAAACAGCCTCGGTATCTCTGCTACAGCTCCAGGATGAGTTTTACTCTCGTTTCAGAAGGGTTCTGTAAGGAAATGGAGGATTCGCTGAGCTCCCCTCGCACGCAAATATTTCTGGGGAGTAGGAACTATCATGTGATGAAGCATTTGTTTGTTATTAGTTAAATTTCACCAAGCAGCCACATTTCACAACAGCCCCAGAAAGCCAAGAGCAGGCATTGGTAAAAGAGGAGCCAGCCACTTCTCCTGACCCACAAAGGAAGTTTCCATCTCAGCACCAGCTGGCGCAGGCTGCTCGAAAGGAGACGTGGCACAACTGCCCCCTTGCCATGACTTCCCACCCCTAAGCCAGACCAGGACAAAGTTATGGCAGCTGCCACACACTCCCAGCTCATCCCACTCAGGAACCCCAGAGCAGAGTGCCCTGGTCCCATCTCCCTGAGGAAAGGGGTTTTGCACCTCCATCATGCCGTGTCCAAAACCTGCACATCTGTGATGCTCAGGAGGGTGTTCAGAAGTGAACCAGCACTCACTCACAAATTCAGCTGCTCAGGAGGATGCTGAGCTCAGAACTGAGCCAGCACTCACACATGAACTCGGGTGACACAGAACCCTACCCAGCCATTTCAAGTATTGTCATTTCTGGGACACTCTGATGCTATCAGGGGGAATTTCTGCCTTTAAAACAGCATTACCTGTGCCTGACACTCTCTAATGCAATATTAAATTTAATTGGCTTCCCATCAGTGCAGCTGTGGTGCTCATGCCTGGATGGAGTTCTGTGACTCCTATCAAAAGGCCAGACCCATGCTCAGCAAAGGGCACGACTGCTCACTTTGGGCACATCCTCGTGTCCCCTTGCACTGTCATTTGGCTGCTGCTGGCTCCAGCCAGAGCTGAGCCAAGCCTGCACTCACAGCCACCACATCACACTCATCCAAGGCCTGCACAGAAACTTTAAAGCATTCATCTGTTAAAATGCTTTCAGCCATTTAATCTATAAACATGCAGCTTTGTACACGAATTCATGTCCTTTCTGCTAAATAGCCGTGAGTATTTTCCAGTCTGCTCATGCCTTGTTTTTGTGTGCGATGGAAGCAGAGGCACGACAGCATCTGAGAGCAGAGCAGGGTGCAGCATGAGCCCCAGGCCTGCCAAACACACACAGGAACAGGATCCTCACCGGATTTAAATAAATATTAGCAGATGACAATGGGTTTTCCAAGCATCCCAGCAGTGCAGGCTGCCAGGAGGAGCACACCTCAGAGAAAGCAAATGCCCTTCCACCAGCAACTCCAACTCACAGCCTTGGCTCTCCAGCCCTGGCACTGCCTCCCAGCCCCAGGGGCACACAAAGCTTCCACAGGCTCAGCTGCACAAATCCCTTCTCAAATCCCCAAATTAAACCGTAGTTTTTTGTTTTCAAACACTGTTTCCTTATTTTGACAGTTTGTTTCTCACACAGTGCATCCCCACTGCAGCTGAAGCCCCGCCACTCCCTGCCCTTTTCTCTGCTGTGCCCCTCTGCAGTGCATGCAGGCTGCTCCAGCCCTGGAGCTGCATGGACCCAGCCACTGTTTGTCCCTGCACTCGGGGGACAGCCCCAGCCTGCCACCTGACCCGCTGAGGCGGTGCACATCACCCAGCCTGCCAGGGAGTCCCCTCACCTAATGGCCATCCTGGGCTCCCACCTTCCAATCTTCACAAGGAAGAAGCAGAAAATGAGCTTACAAAGGTGAAAGGTGGCAGGTTTGCCCCTCCTGGGATGCAAAACCTGGGAGAAGCCACCCTGCAGTCTCTGCACCTCACCGGTGGCCACAGCAGAGGCTGCTGCCTGCATTTGGTACAGCCCACACCAAAACTTCTCCCTCAGAGCCTGGTGTCCACCCAGAGGCTCAGGGAGCAGCTTAAATAAATCAGCTCAGAGAAGATGGAACAGTTGATCCCCCAGACAGAGCAGGTACCTTACGAGAAGAGATGGCAAAAAGCACATTGCAAGGTCACTTCAGATGGGAACTCACCTGATTTCAGAGCACAAAGGGGACAAAAAAGCAAACAAGGAGCAGCAAGGCTGCAGGCAGGCTGCAGCCCTGAGGAGCACCCCCGAGGCCACCAGAGCCCTACACTGTATCCTCCTGGTGACTGCAGAGTCACCTGGAGTCACCAAGGACAGGACCTTGGCATCCTTGTTGCACAGAGAACCCTACTTATTTTCCAAGGAAACACTCTGTCCTCACTGATATTTATGCAGTTAGTTTAAGCCACACCATAATCTTCCATTTTCAAATCCATCTCCTCTGCTCACAAAAAGAAAATGTGCCTGTAAAGAAAATCACAAATAATGAGACACTTGATACATATATTTCATGCTCCACGAGACACTGCCGTGATGCCAGATGCAGGTAGAGGCTTACAGCTCCCAGGAAAGCCTCCAGGGT